GTGGGGAAAAAACCCCCCAACTTGTTGGGTTCCCTGAAATATAACCACGCGGCCCAACAATTTTTCATATCACCCCAAGATGTGTTCCATGACTCGAGGAGAGAAAAGTTCCTCTGGTTACGCATTTTCTGGCTTCTCTGCATATAACTTGGCTACACGTATATGTATATATACCATTGCAAAAACGAAAAGTTTGTTTGTTTTTTATTTAGATAAAAGAAGAGAAAAACTGCGATAGTTTGTGTTCTTGCGAAAATTTTTCGTGTCAACCAAGCAGGCGAGCGCGTGGACTTTTTTAAAATTTCAATGAAGTACAATACCAGCATTCGTTTTTAAAAGTACTGTACCAGGGTTTGTTCTCGAATTTTTTAGTTTGCCGTCCCTCTTGAGTATTGATTGTGAATGATGAATATGTGTATTTTTCATGGTGAAAATTTAATTGAATTCTGGCTCAAATTTTAATTTTTACTCGCACAGTTTCAAATAGAAAGAATACTGTATTTCAAAATTTTATCATTTTTTTATTATTATTGTATATTCTTATTTTACAAAAATTGTGTAACGTTACCATGAAAAATATAGTTAACCTTTGGTACATGTCGTACTAAACACCTCAAATAATTAACTTGAAATTATTATTCGTATTAGTGACGAATCCGATTGATAACCATATTACTTTGCGTAAAATGCTCTAAACGTAATTTTTTGCTTTTAATCTCGTGGCGTTGGTTCGATCGTGAATCTACGAGTTTTTTTGTTATTGAAGAAATGCATTTGCAAACGAAATTCCCCCTTCTTATGAGAGTGCCTCTATATTCAGTAGACTGTGGCTTGTACAATTCTGAATTATAGAAACCAAAGAAATGCATTCTCTTGTACTGGAAGACATTTTCAAGTACTGTATCTCTCATCGAAGCATCTGAAAAAATAGACACTTTATTTCTCATAGCTCTTCTTTTTTTTTTTGTCGAAAGGAAACGCACGATTTCAACCGGTGGATAAATTGTTTCGTTTCTTGGTTGAAGGAGCGGAATGCCGATTGAGGATTTTTGTCATTCCAGGCCGTGTCGAAAGGAATCTCGAAGGCGGGTCAGGTAGTGTCGGACATACGGGCTTTCCAAGCCCCGGATTTGTCGACAGTGCCACAGACGCCAGCGACACCAACGACGGCTGACGTGCCGCCGGCGTTCGAAATTGATGACGAGTTCAACCTCCCGGTGTCACTCGCACTTTTCGTCCTCGTCCTGTATTTGTTCATCGGTGCCATCATTTTCCAAGTGTATGTGAACATTTCGACAATTCATGGGAAATTTACCATTTCTTCCCATTATGCGTTCGTACGGTGTTCTTGCGAAGTTTTCACCTGTAACGTTAGATCGAATTCAGGTTAGATTATAAACTAAGATGTGACTTGAATTTTGTTTGCTTGTTTGAAGCTTTTTTTGTGAGTACCATTGGTAAGATCCGGCTGAATTGTAAATTTTTCATCAGATTTGTCATTGACGCAACATCTGTCAGACCCAAAAGTTCGCCGAACTAAGATTAAAATATGAATACTGTACTGCGCTGTACAATCCATTTAACTAGTAGCGAAGTCAAGTACTATAATTATTATAATACTGTACATATGCTTCGTTTGCTTTTAATTTCATGCAATGATCAAATGCATATTCATGTTTATTCAATCCCTGATTGCAAATTTCCCAAAAAAAAATTGCTCATTCCAAACGGACGACGCTATGGCTGTAAAAAATCTAATGCAACAGTTTTCATGGATTATTTATGTGAAAAAAATTTGCAGGACGAGACTTACTCCGAAATAATTTTGAACGCATTTAATTTCTTTTTGCTCAGGTTCGAAGGATGGTCGTTCATTGACTCGTTTTATTTCGTCTTCATCTCGATGTCAACGATTGGGTTCGGTGACATTGTGCCAGAACACGAGAAGTTTATGATGGCATCATTTGTTTACCTGCTTTTTGGACTCGCATTGACTTCGATGTGTATTAACGTCGTCCAGGTTAGTGTGTTTACTTTGGACATAAGTAATCTCAATCAAATCTTTTCACAAATTTTTGGAACAATGCATTTTTCTTGCGAGAGACAGATACCAGTGTATCGCATTGTCCTGGGTAAAAATTGGATTTAGCGCAAATTACTACGGATGTCCGGTTTCCGCACAAGAATATGCCGATTTTTCCTTTTCCTTTTATCACACATTACTTCGGGTTAATTTTGGGCGTTCAAATCATTTAAAAAAATGTTAATGGTTCCTGTCTTTCGATTTCAATTTTATTTTAAATTTGCGTCCACCTCATTTGCTTGTTATGTCTTCTGAATAAAGTAAACATCTGTCAGCAATATGTGCTTCACTTCTCACCCTTTTGTAACATGCGCGATTTCAAAGCCATTGATGATATTGAAAGATTTTCTGGTGATTCTTCGAGAAGCCACGTATTTCAAAAAATTGCAAACGCATTTCCTCCAACGAAAGCTTTCAAGTTATCGTCTCTCGATCGGTACTATCAACAGCAGAGACGTGAAAATTTGAAGTTTTAAAAATCGAAACCTTTTGAAAATGGAAGGCTTTGATTTCCGATGAAGAAACCCTGACAAATGCATGATTTAAATGAAATATTTATTTCAAAAATCGATTTAAGATCTCAGGCAATAAGCAGTACTTTACCGGCTGATGTTGATTTCATTCGCCAATTCGTTTTTAGCCACTCTTCTCTTTTTATTACGTTAGGTTCTTGAAATCCTCCTGTATAACAAAACTGCTTGCAGAAATGGGACGTCGCTCTCGATTTATCTTCGCGAATCAGGCAACCAATAAACAAAACAAAGTGATTTCGCCGTGTTGACATAATGTCGTTGTAAATTTGCTAATCTCGTTCTAACTTCTGTCCTTGAAGGAATCGATTTCCAGTGCTTTCAGCGACGCGTCAGAAAAGCTTCGTGCTGCCATAGGGATGAATTTGGAAGCCATGGAAGACGAAGACGGGACAACGGATGACGAAAACCTGGATGAGGAAAAGGGAACCCGCAAGAAATCAAAATCAACAGCACCTTCAAATTCTCGTCGGCCATCGAAAGCAGATTAGTGAAACTTATGCACGCAACAAAATTCGCAGGAACACCATTTGTGCAATAAAAAAAAATCACGTGTTCGAAATTTTTTTTTTTTAGAGGGAGGGCTTCAAATTTATTTGGCTACTTTCTCTTTTTTGAAATGGAGGATTACCATCGGGGAATCCATTTTTTTACGGAAACGCCCTTCGGACGAACAAAACTAAATGTACTGTATGATGATCTGTATTTGATTAAATTCGGTTGTTTCGAAATTATGCTCAAATAAAATTTTTGAAGAACTTTTCAGTGACAAATGAATTGAATAAAAACTTGAAACGCGCCTATTGTTTTGTGGTCGTAAAGACGACCATTGGATAAGTGTGCTGCCGTATTTTGTAAGACGAATAATGAGACAATGGTGCTAATAAAGCTTGCAGTTTTTACAAACTTTTCGCGCAGTCATTTTCCACCAAACTGTCGAATGGATGATTTTTCAAAGGAAATAATGTTTGTAACTCCACAGCATCTAGTTATTTTCGTGAGATTTTGATATTTATTTCAATATCGAGGAACAGTTTTTCCCAGATTCTGCCTGAGTGAAACTTGATGAAAGATTTATGTGATGAGCGTTTTGCCATTATGAAAAAACACGCACATTTGTAAAAAAAAAAAATGAGTGTCGATGTACAGTGAGGACTAGAGAAGAAAATCACTTTTCGCGTTAATTTCTTCTGAGCAGGTCCAAGACATGCGCAAAGGTTATTTATCCTTCAATTTATACCCAATTTCATAACATCACTTTGTTTAAATAAAAATCACTGGCTATTGAAAAAAGTGAAGATAATTAAAGCTGACGTGATCATTTTTGCAGGTGCTGAGGATAAATGAAAATGTCCTACTTACGAATGCCTTTGAATGACTGAAAGGCTGTAAGTCATTCAGTAAAAACTCATTCAAAGTTTCAGAAAAATCATGAGGAATATTCAGAGGTTTTCCTTATTTATTCAAGATCCAACAACAAATTTCGGAACTTTTATATGTAGAAAAAATTGGCTACGGAAGTGGGTTCTCTAGTGTTATTTCAGCTCGTTTTTTCGGAAAATTGTGATCATTAATTGTTTTTATTGCTAAATTCTTCTTCGAAAACTTAACGGAGGCAGGAATAAATCCCACGAGTGCATTAAAAAGAGAAAACGGGTTCAGAGCACGTTCATCATCAAGATTTCAATATTCTATCGTCGAAATTGCTTCTCATGAACGTATGATCCTTCGACGGATTTTGCAACATTCCCAAGATGAATTTCGAAAAGTATTGAATGAAAAATACGATTTCTGTACAATCGCCTCGTATTTTCGTATCAGATCGTAAGAAAAAAGAACGATGTGGTCGAATTCTCGGACCAGAAACAAATCAAGGAAAAAAGTTACACAGAATTATATAAAACATGAACAAATGAGACCTTAGAATTTTGACAGTGAAACATGTAAAAGCTTTTTTTTCAAGGAATAAAACTGGGTAAATTCCATTCCCCGTTATTTTTATCATTATCATAATCAGGACAAATCGTCTTGAATTTGAGTCCGCTGAATCGGCGACCGACTTCTCCACTTGCGAATATCATCTTGAACACTTCGAGTCGCATGTGCAGCACAACACGGCTCTTTAATCACTTCCGGGTCAAAACTCTGCAAAATACTTTTGCCGTGATGTTTTGATTCGGGGTCATCTTGAAGGATGACGACATCATCCAACACCGGCGGCGATGTCGATGAATTTGAGCCAGTGACGGTGACGCTTTTCACGGCACGCGTTGCGAAGTTATACACTGTCGACACTAGGTTGGCAGGCGGTAAGACAAGGTACTGGTTCAGTACTTTGAAGGTCCAGTCGGTACCACGACCGAGAACTGACAAGAATCCAGGATCGTCAGTCTTTTCGCGCTGACGGGAAGATCGGCGACGAGTTCTGCTGCCTCGTGAACCGTGTCGCTGTCGAGAGTGTCGACGATCCCCGTGTCGTGAAACTGTGTCGAAGCGTTTAGACCTGTATTTGAATTCATGGCTGATCCTCCGCTTCATCTTGAACATGAAAAAAAAAATCCATGTCAAATCAACAATCAGTTTCATAAATACAGTAATGAAATCGCATCACATTGAAGCAAAATTCTGAAAAAGCAAAATTTTTTCACGATAAACTCGCTGTATAGAAACACAAATAAACTGACTGCAATGATCTTGGAGGTATTCGTTGTAAAACTATGTGAAATTTTCAATGTATTACTGATATGATTCATTACATTTTCCGCAAATTTGAAAACCTTTTTCAGCTCCCTTCGTCCCAAATTTGAAATATTCCCACGCATACAAAATTTAGAACCATTTTAAAACTCAAATTCCCACTATTTGAACGTCTAATACCAATTGAACAAAAGGATTTACCCACATCTTATCTTCTGGAAATAAAAAAAACTGAAATCTAAAATGGCGCAAGCGATTCGAATAAATGGTCATAAGTTAAACTGGTGAAAGCACTTTTTTAGCACTCAAGCTCACTTTACTTACTTTACCAATTTCGTCCTATTTCCTCATCATGCATGAAAAAGTTTGGTGGGTGGAAATTATGAAAATAATTGGAAGAATGGAATAAAGAAACCAATGCTTAACTTTGGAATGATTAGATCACACGAAGTTCCACCTCTTCACAAAAGGACTACGTGAGAAACTGTGAAATTCGAAATTGGGTACAATGTATAATTTTAGTCTTGGAAATCAAGCACACAACATTAAATCATAATTCTTCTTGAAATAACGCGATTATTCACAATTTTGCAGTATATTCACATTTTACAGTAATTCCTCTCTCTCTCTTTAATTAGCAGGGAATCCTTTTCGCTGTCAACAATCGCAACGAACAATAAAATGCGTTTAACATAGTTATTCAAATATGTACGCAAAATAGTGCTTAAAATTCTCGGATCAACTAAACCTACTTTTGTCTCATCCCCGAAAGGATATTCATCAAGTTCATTAGCTCTTCCCAATTGACTGTGGTGGAAACGCCTGTTTCTGTCCTGGGTGGGATTATGAAAAACATTTTGAGACACTTCGCACATGCCTCTATGCTGTACCCAAGCCAAAGGATGCCCATTGCTAAAATTCGGCTGCTGAGGGACGCAATTGCAAATGGCAGGTTGTCCACAGGGTTTATCTTCAGGACAACAGAGCGTTGGCTGATGATGTGCATGAAAATCTGTCGACAGGATTCATATCGTTTTTATTCGATGTAAAACCTTTTTTAAAGAAAAAGAAAAAATCTAGAACAAAGTAGAGATGAAGTAAAATTATTCCCTGCCCCCGCCGTGAAACCACAAAAGCTCAATCATGACCAAATAATATACTGTACCCAAATTATAATCGAAATTGAACATGACGAACCAAAAGATTCGAATGACACTAATGAAGAAGGAAGTGAAGACTTGGTATATGCAGGAAAATACTATAATGTTAGACTGTAAAATAATAAGGTTCGTTGCGGAAAACCATGCAAATATTTACGTGATAAACATAAATCCCAAGGTGAACCCTGCTGGTAACACTCATTCACGCGGTGTCCTTTGACGAATTTCGTCTGAAAATTGTTATCATCTTCCACATTTTGATCGTGACATCTTTTCAAGTTGGCAGCTGGCATTTCTTGCTTCATTTCTGCCGAGCAATTCTCAGCCTGGCAGTAATTGTCACCTTTCCCTACTCCGGACATTGAGCACGTAGGGTGGGATTGATTTCTAGCGACATCTAGCGTTCTTAAACACGACAATCCGCATTCCGCTTTTTTCCCATTTTGATTAGTGTCGCTAAAATTCCGCTGACAACGCTCCTTGTCGCCTCCACATTCGTCATTCAACCTGAACAGATTCTCCGCGGATTCCTTCGTCTTTGCGTTACTTTTCGACGTTTCGTCATCGCCAATGATGGCTATGGTGGATTCTGAGGACACTTTCCGGTCGTCGTCTTCGTCGACACACGCTAATGTGTCCATTTCAGACGTCGACGTCGATGAATACGGCGTTCTGCCGTTGGACTCCATATTTTGTTCACAAGTTTCAGCAGCAGTGGCACTTTTGATGTCCTGTGTGTCAACATGACGATGTGTCGGGAATGCAGGAGGTCGAAGCGTGTCCCAGGCAGGCAATGGTGGGATTGCGGTGGCAATCAGTGTCATTATTGCAACACAGAATCCATTTCAGCAAGACTATTTTTCACCAAGAACACACGATAAAACATAAAATTGGCAACCAAATCCAATAATTACGAGAGGCGAGTTAAACAGTGAACAAGAGGGTGATGAATAGTTTCCTATCAATTAACAGAAGCTACGTGAGATTTCATTGGCGTAATGATTTAAATTTTTATAGAGAAAAAATCCCCAATTTGGAATTGCTGGCATTTGATGAAGATCCGATAGTGACGATGTTTACATAATATATATGTAAAATATAAATTCGAAAATATTTAATAGACCACGAATACAACTTTTTCAAAATTTAAAATGCATCTTCCATAATTCGATTTTGAGTGACTTTTTGGATGACAAATTTTCCCATTTAAGTTCGTTTTACAGTATATCAATTTAAAAAGCTAAATCCAATAGTAGTGGGCAGTATATACTTACTATTTTAGTAGAAGTAAAATAATTCACAAGCAGTCGAATTCAACTGTAATTCCTCTCAATATATTTATTTTATTTTTTATTACTGGTTATAAATCGATCATCTGCTACATAAGGTGAGGATGTTTAATGTCATATGCAGACTGATAAAAGTCGTGAATTATTTATCGCATCAAACCCCATGTTTTCTAATGGTCAACAACCAAAAGAAAAAAATGGAAAAAATTCAATGGTTAATCATTCACCTTCGCCGTTCTTCAAGCAAGCAAATCATGGAAAATGAGAGCAACATGAAGCGGGGGTGATTCCCGAAAATTTTCGAGAGTAAATTAAATTAACCTAAATTTGAATAATTCGTATTTTCAGCAGTGAAACACGGGCATGGAATTTTGTCAGCGCTTCCGAGCGTAGCGGAAGTTATTGTATTGGGTATATTTGACAGAGCCTTCCAAACGTTTTGCTCCGCTGATCAACTCTATCAATATACTGACAGTGTTGGAATTGTGTGTCAAGTTCCAAGAAAACTTTCCCAAGGCTCAGAAAAACAGGGTGGATTTCTCAAGAATCTGTTCGTTCGTCCGTGAGAATGCTTCTTTTTTTCTCGAAGGGCCGAGACTTCGAATACTCGTGCGAACATCGCTTTTGAAAAATCGTGGCAGTTAGCCTCTCTAGAAAATCGCAATTTACTAATTCGAATACTTGTATGTTTTCTATCTTCGAAACGCTGAAAATGGGGGGAAAATCCTTAATCCAAACGAGCTATTCATCTTCTGAATTGTTCCGGGAAGCGATTTCCACAAATACGAAAACGGGTCGCCGAGAAAAGTTGTCAGCCATGTTCAATCTGCAAGTTTTCGTCACTTGACGACTTTTTGCATTCAAGTTTTAGACCAACTTGCCACACATTGTGGATTGTGTGAAAAAAAGAGAGATACACAGATGCTGATTTGGATTCGTGTTAATAGGCATTACTATTCTGGATGAAAGTACTAATACAGTACATTATATCAGGACTGCTTACCACAAGCTCATCGGATAACTTTCAGGTTGGTTTACATTGATATTTCACAAGATTTTTTTGGTACCGATTCCACATCAATCCTGTTGGAAGAAAATTGTATTTTGTAGACATTGCATTAATAATACTAGGTTATATTTCTGCTTATGCATAAGACATTAGTACATGCCTTGCTATGGGTTAGGTTATTTGAGAAGTTACTGTATATTAAATCTTAAATCAGGTAAGGTGTTAAAGGATCCTCATTGTATTTCAGGTTCCTGTATTGTGAACTTGGTGGTTAAATTTCCCTGATTCTGAATCATCTTGTTCATTTTTGACAAGTAATTCTCAAAAGTCAATAGATGATTTAAAGATGTGTAGTCCAAACCATATTCTGTATGTCCCGCAATAGTTCAATAATACCACCTGTTTTTGAGTCATGTACCAGAATGTGAAATGGTGTTGCATAGCAACTTGTTGCTCCAAAGGGCACAAGGTCAGTTGTCTGGTTTGCAGTCATTTACCTTGCCCCCTTTCACGGTGTCTCTGTCCTGCTTGCGCAGTCAAGTCTGGAAAGTGTCAAATCTATAAAAGGTACCCACACATGCTGTACAGATATTCATTGTCAGTCTGGCATTGACTGAAGTAATACAGAAATATACGTTGCACACTCTAAATCAAGAAGTTGTGTTTCATTTTTAAAACCCTGGCCATAAGAACTAAATCTTCTTGTTGAAAGCTTGTCTTAAAGAATTTACATTCTCTAGATTAATTGATCTTTGGAAGAAGACGTTCTTCCATCATCAAAAGTGTCTTAAGATAAAATTCTTACAAAATCAGGACAACAGATGATACATGCAGGTGGTACCTTGCAATTTGAACTCCCACAATTTGACCATCCCACAATTTAATGATCACATTTGCAGGGAGGTTGACTTGCAATTCCACTCTTACCCCGCAATTTGACTTGCATTGGCCACTTTTTTCATGTTTTCTACTGATATTTTTGAATTTCACTAAGTGTCTCACAATTCAAATGCTTTGCAATTTGACCCTACTTTGGCAATGGATTAGGGTAAAATTGCGAGGTACCACCTTTACCATGGAAGCCCTTCTTTCAGCTTCAAAAACCTATTTTTGTAGGTAAGGATCAAATGGTTGTACTTCAAACTGTTACCTTCCTTAAAAAATGACCTATCTATAATTAAGAAACCTAAACCCTTGAAGGAACTGACCACTTACAAACGCTTTCTTTCTCAACGAACTTATCCGTCCAAAATGTCCCTCAGTTTTCCCTGCAGATGAGTGAAAACTTACCCAACAAGTATTTTGCTGATCAGACTTCTGTTTGAATGAATTGAGTTTGTTGGGCAGGGCACCAGTGTACTTCGAACTTTTGCATGAAATATTCTTGGTATTCAATGAAGTTTCTGAGTGACCCCATGTGTTCATCGCAACATGCCACTTAAATCCAGCACTTGTCGTCCAATTTCAAGTTTCTCAGCCAGGAAATTGGGCATTTGAGCCTCGATCAACCAAAAGACCTCAGGCAGCAATTCAGCAACTTCCATTTGATCCTAATGCCCAGAAATCGATCCCTTGAGCTCTCCGACGGTTGACATTTTCATACGAAAAGAAAGTTTTCCAAAACACCAGAATTTATTCATTCCGTAAACAAATAAGAAAAACTTCGCTGCACTGTACTTTCCGTTGACAAAAACAAATCGCATATGGGAGTATAGAGAAAGAAAATGTAATACGCCCCTCGGATTTAACGGATATAATCATCGCACAGTTTTCCACCCATGCTGACATTTTTGAGCAGCAGTAATCGAAGTCTTGAATATAAAGGAAAGGCGGCTAATGAACGCAAACGTGACTCTCGTCAGCAGCTAAGCATCGTCGTCGGGTTTCCAATTAAAGTCCCCGACGAGAGGGCTGTCGAATCGACGTTTTCGCCCCGCGGGCTTCAACAAAGCAGACTCATAAAAAAAAAAGAGACTGTTTCATGCCAGGGGGTTTTTTTTTTTCTCCTTGTTCAGGCAAGGAGAATATGGGTCCGGGTACAAATTGGTGATGGTCGCATGGATTAAGCTACAAAATGGCGAGATGTGTTGGATCTTGGATTTCAATAAGATTTTTGGAGGATTTATTTGCTTGATATTTCTGTTCTTCGCGATTTTTTGTCAACCCTCATTTTTTTTGTGCAATTGTCTTTTCGTGGACATTTTTCGGTACAAGAGCTGAACCTTACTAACTCAAACCTGTACGAATGAAAAGTTTAAAAACCTACCAACGTCAGCAATATGTTATAGTTCCCTCAACATGATCCTGAATTTTTAAACCCTCAGGCTTTAAAAGAAGTGGGCGTAAAATGTAATAAGAAAGTAGGAAAACCTCTCACTGTTTTATGCCAGAACTCTCATTACAATTATTCGGGAAAAATAATTCGCTCACTCGTATTTGCAAAGTTTATAGGCGACATTAAAAAATACGTTTGAAACTAAGGAAATCTGAGAGATTCTGGCATCAACCAAAAAATTCAGATCCTCCTGGTAACAAATATATTAGATTGGGCTCATGATGCTTTGCCATCTTACAAGACCTCAAAATTCGTTGCAGATTTTTAACTCTCCAGTAGTAGTAGCTGTTAAGAATATAAAAGAAATGAATAAAACTAAATGATTCAGTCGGGCCATGACTGGGGTGTTTTTCACCTTATTTTAAAGTTGGTGTAATTTGGTTCAAAAATACACTTTCAGAACTTGCAAATTTTCTTGAGTGAAATGCACAAGAGCTCAAAGCAGAATGAATACAAAAATAGTGAGTGAAGAACCAGGAAAAGTATCCTTCAAGGATCAGTGAAAGTTTTTAGAATATAACTTTTTGAGTTTTCTTGAAATTTAGGCATGAAGCAAAACCTTGGAGGCGGTTCTAGAATAGACATGAGAAACAGAGTTATGCCCGGTTCTCACAAAGATGCACAAGGACAAGTTTTTGGGGAATGCTGATTTTTGTTCTCAATAATTACGGGTGACAAATTATAGTTTCGCCGTTCTATTTTGCGACAGTAGCCATTCGGTCTTACCACGAGTTGTTCCCCTCTTTGTTTTCTCCCTTGCCTTTTTGCTGAAATACAAGCGAAAATTGACGGGAGCCGAGATTCCCCGCAGTTTCAGCTTTCGCTCAGCGCCGAAAAGTTGGCAATGGTGAGAGTAACAAGCTGTTATACTGAGCTCTATGCATGCGTAATCAGCCGCGAAAAACCCCCGCGGCGATTTCGTACTGCTTTATATATACGCATAGTATATACCTTACACCAGAATCGGCGGCGAAAATTGGCTCAGGAACGGAGCGAAAATCTGTCCCCTTTTTCGCCTCCACTCCAGTGTCGGTCTCCTGCATTTTTTCTCCTCATATCTTCTACTCTTATTTTTTTGTTTCTGTCTGTTTGCGTGGGTGAAATCATCCCCCTATAACCTCATGATTTCAAACCCGGCGACGAGCGAGGAATAACTTCGAGTGTGTGTGTGTGTTACTGTTAGAATATCAT